AAGTTTTACCGTGATGACGACGAGATTGCTTCATCTCCGCTGTTCACAGGTTTCACCAGAGAGGAGTTTGTAAACCGGCACCGGTGAAGCAACGAAAGTGCAAAATGCCCCTCCCCTCTTCGCCGAACTGCGCCTGGATTCAGTAATCGTAACATCAAGAAATCCTCAGTGTAAGAATGATTTTACATTCATCTTGAATTCCAAACGGAAATTCCTCACAACTTATATTTTCAAGTAACCACGCCGAACCAATTACGGATCGCTTTATTACTTTAACATCCAGTACATGTTAGTATACAACATGTAAATACACTGCTAGTAAGCGGAGCCTAAAGCAGCTATACTTCTAATGGGCTCGAAATTGATATAATGTTTTAGGTTACAAAGCCCACGCCTTTTTGGAACACTATGAGCAATTCAATCCAAGGATCATCAATTTACAGCGGTCATATAGAGATCTTACTAAACGACAATCACAGAGGTATTATACATCGAGGAACGATTGGCATCCATGGTATCATCGCCTCCTGTCACGCGGCGATCGCGATCTTGTACGTGAACGACGACGTTCTCTTCTTGGTGACGGAGAGGAAGAGTCATGCCTGAATGCTTTCCTTTTTACGTTACGTTTTTTTACGTTGGAACGTTGGAATTAGTACACTTGAGATAATTCAGATAATCTAAATTTTTCACATAAAGAAGAACCACGGAAATCTGCTGAAATCTGAACTAGTAGAGCATTTGAGTAACTTTGGGAGCTTCATAATTGGGAAAGTCTGAAGAAAAAACTGTAAAAATCTACTGCATAGTACCTCCGCCGTGGAGAATCTCGGCGACGTCGGTTTCGCTCATCGCGATCATCCTTTCGCTCCTTTTCTCTACGGTCACTATGACGGCTCTTCTCGTTTTCGCGTGACTTGGAAGTATCTTGAAAAAGTGAAAAGAAGTATATTAACGAATACCACGCACCATAAAAACACCGATTCACAAAAATTACTGGTGATGTGAGTAAGAAGAAGAGTCAGGGAAATTGGTAGAAAGTGAACTGAATAGCCTTTCGGAACGGAACAGCCGGTGATAGAGCATAATTCATTTTGTGGGCAATCCACCGAGTAGAACAATAATGAGATCATAGGTTTTCAGATGCTGCAGCACGACGCTTGAGCAGTAACTCATCGGACGTTGCGAGGCCAGAACATGTTCCAGGCAACTCCGCATCTGCGATATCAACTTCCATTCGGTAAAGGTGATAGAAGAACGGCACAAAGCTGTCAAGGCCTGCTCCTGGGTCATGCATACAACATTTTTCCAGGAAAGGAAACGAATTGCCTACTTATCCTCAAACCCAGGACTTTACCGGGAAAGTATACAATACTACAATTCACTGTCAGAAGGGATCTCACAGGACATGATCACATGGCTTCAGGAGTCCAATAACGCATAACCATACCAAATTACCCCAAGAGAATAGCCTGGTACCGTTCAACACTGGGATGATACTGTGACGGTGCAGTAACAAGAGAAGCTATACATTTGATCGAGAGTAAATTTTCAACCTTAGTCAGGGCATGTCATGTGTCGAAATCCCGTTGAGAGCTCTTCAACAGCCACGAGGTATTTTCAGAAGTATTTTAGTTGCGAGAGAGAAAAATGGATGCATTCGGACCGGTAGAAGTATTTTTTGGCTCCAGCAGGGAAAGGAAGCTTTCGAAGGACTACTTGAGCAAGACTGCGATTACCCCGATAAGGTTGGAATTACTATAGTTGGAGCTGGTTCACCGACCTAACAGCTCCTTTCTCTTTAGGCTAAACTCTTCACCACCTCTACGCTAATTTACGTCTTCTCTTGACTCTTACTCCGGAAGCCCTTTACATGCCACCTCCGAGGTCAGGGGAGCCTTTCGACTACGTTGGCCTTTCCCCGTTCGGCAGATATTGGGGAGAAGGAATCGTATCGAAAGAAATTCTCCGCACTGCAATGGCGTGCCGACTCAAGAGTAGACAGGTGAGGTTTAGGTAGACAAAACATTGAAATATGTATACCTTCATCACTGCTCGAACTTTCATGGCGTCTTTTTGTCGGCGATTTCTTTTTTCGTTCAGGCTCTTCGGATGAAAGTGATGAGTCGTCTGAAACACAATGATTACACCCTGGAATCTTCGCTCTGCCAATGAGTTCATTAATGTTATTCTCACCACTGCTTGAATCTCGACGGCGATTTTCCGAGCTATCTCCCCTTCTTCGTTGTAATTTTTTGTCTAAATACAAAATAGAAAATAGACAAATAAGTTTCTGTCGACATTCCAAATCACCACACCATTCTTCACAAGAATGGTGAGAACTTCATACCTCGATCCTTGTTTGAGTCTCGTTTTCCACCTCTTTCTTGGCTATCTACTTTTTTACGCGGATATTCCTTGTCTAGTTTCCCTGAACACTTCATGAATATAAAAATTAAGGAAAAACATTTGAGTGAGGGGCTAACAAGCCTCCAGATTCTCTTCGTTCACGCTCTTTTCGATTTTATCATTCTTTTGGTGCTTTGGCTTTTAGTGGATCCTTCTTGGCAATAGACGGGCTTCTTTTACATAAGAACAAGATAAGGATATATGCGATTCAATATTCAACGAAAAAAGATAACAAAATCCATTTCCAATGCAGTGGAAAAGCCTCATTTTTACCGCGCTTGATCAGAATCGCTGCTCGAATCTCTCCTCCGTCGTCTCAGTTCACCATTCTTTTCTCTAGATATTCCTCTCTTTCTTCTTTCTGCAACCAAAGAGTACTTTCACGCAGCAAATGAAACAACGACTACTGAACGGCAACAGCTTCCTATCAAAAAACTGCGGACTTTCTAGAAGAACAAAAGCAGCCAATGAGCATTTTCACCATTCACGCCAAACAAGAATTCAATTACCTTCATCATTACTCGAATCGTGTCGACGGCGACGTTGTTCTGGACTGGATCGACGCTTCGGTTCCGGTTCTGTAATGAAAGGTCTATCACACACGCTTACGTAAGGACATCAGTTGAACGGTCACCTTCGTCACTGCTAGAGTCATGTCGTCGGCGCTGCTTCTGCTCAACACGAACTCCCTTCACAGGTTCTCCTATGATACAAAACTTTCGAATGTGGAAATAACCTTGATTATACTACTAGTGAAGACTGTAAACTGTAAGTAACTGGGAACGCAAGCTGCCACGACGCTCACCTTTTTTTCTGATTGAATCCTCATGGCGCTTTTGCTTCTGAGAACTGTGGCGTTCCGAAACTTCATCTATAAAAACAAGCAAATGAGTACAGGAGCAGTTCGACTTGGTGGAGTCAGAGGGACCAAATTACACTCTGCCAAACTTGCCCGCATTGTGAAGACCTGTAAACTCCTGTAACTGGAACGGCCCACTTTTATCAGGAAATAGTTCTCTGAGTAAACGCGAACGAGCAAAATAAACAAG